AGAAAAAATATTTTTAATTTTTGAAATAAAATATATAAAAAATATATATAAATAAATATAATAAATATATAAAGAATCTCTACGCGTCCGTTCTGAAGGGTAACATTGTTTTTTTAACGTTAAAAAAACAATGTTACGTTACCATATGGTATTGTCATCAAATTTAACATCACTATACCAGATATGTTCATATATATATATACTTTGTATGACCATATATGTACATATATAGTCATATATTATAAATATTAAGTATCCTGGATATATACATCAATGTATTTTGCATCCAAAATAAATAATATTACATCACATATAATAATATATACATATACATACATATATATGACTATATATGTTCATATATTATAAATGTAAACGTTCTTCATCTAAAATAAATTTAAATATATATAAGTGTGTATGACCATGTATGTTTCTACATGTTTATAGATATTTATATACAACCATATATAAAAGCCAATTATACGTAAATAAATAATCATATATAATCATATATGTCCATACATTATTTTATATATGATCATACATAATTATATATAATTATATATGATTATATATAATTTTTTTTTCCCGGGAGTGTAAAACTGCCATTTGATGAGGTTTTTTAATTCATTGCTTCTGGCCAGTCTTCAAACGAATACAAACGATCCTGATTTAATACAAATTCAGGATGACAGCTGTTTTTTTCTTAATTATATTTGGAAAAATATTATCTTCAGGAACAGAATTGAGGAAAATTTCGAATATATTATTTTTGTTTTTTTTGGTTGCAACACTTTGTGGGTAAAATTGTTTTCTATTATAAAAAAAAAATTTCCATAGTCACTACAAGAAACAAATACGGTTTTAGTTTATTATCATTGCACATACAAACACACACTGCAAAGTAAATAAAAGCATACAAATATTTTATATATTTTCCCTTTCCACTGTTCAGCCTTACAGATTGTCCTAACTTGATTGTTTTATAGAGATAATTCTTTAAAATTATAAATAAGTTTATAATATGTTCTATTATTTTTTACTTTTAACATATGCTTCATTATTTGTTTTTTTAAAGCAAGCAATTTAGTTTAATGATTTGTATTTTTAGCTTTTTTAAAGCAATCAACCTTAATTTACAAAACTCATTTTATTTGTTTTAGTATTATCTATATGTTTGAAGATTTAACAAAAACAAAACTTTATAAAATACACCATACTTTTTATATATCTACATAGTTTCTCCCTACCTTTACATCCACTTTCACCCCTCCATTTCCCCTACTTTATCTTACATTTTAAAAAACAATATTTTTACTTACATATTTTTATAAATTATAAAGCCATACAAAATCATGGTGCCATGCTTCATGACTCCAATCATTTACGGGGTGTTCCTCCCCTGATCTTAAATTTAAAAGAAAAAATTAAAGAAACTGAGGAAATTGAATGTTTACCTTTGACTTAACAACCAAAAAATCCCAAAAAAATCAAATAATTCTAATTCATCTTGAGGGATTTCATTCTGGAATTCTTCATTTTTATTTCTTAAAAGTTTTCTATTTAAACGTATAATTTTAATTGCAACACTTTGTGGGTAAAACTGTTTTCCATTACAAAAAAATAAGTTTTCCATAGTCACTACAAGAAACAAATACGGTTTTAGTTTATTATCATTGCACATACAAACACACACTGCAAAGTAAATAAAAGTATACAAATATTTCATATATTTACCCTTTCCACGGTTCAGCCTTACAGATTGTCCTAACCTGATTGTTTTATAGAGATAATTTTTTAAAATTATAAATAAGTTTATAATATGTTAAATTATTTTTTACTTATAACATATGCTTCATTATTTGTTGTTTTAAAGCAAGCAATTTAGTTTGATGATTTGTATTGATAGCTTTTTTAAAGCAATCAACCTTAATTTACAAAACTCATTATATTTGTTTTAGTATTATTTATAAGTTTGAAGATTTAACAGAAACAAAACTTTATAAAATACACCATACTTTTTATATATCTACATAGTTTCTCCCTACCTTTACATCCACTTTAACCCCTCCATTTCCTCTACTTTATCTTACATTTTAAAAAACAATATTTTTCCTTACATATTTTTATAAATTATAAAGCCATACAAAATCATGGTGCCATGCTTCATGACTCCAATCATTTACGGGGTGTTCCTCCCCTGACCTTAAATTTAAAAGAAAAAAAGAAACTGAGAAAATTGAATGTTTACCTTTGACTTTACAACCAAAAAATCCCAAAAAAATCTAATAATTCTAATTCATCTTAAGGGATTTCATTCTGGAATTCTTCATTTTTATTTCTTAAAAGTTTTCTATTTAAACGTATAATTTTAACATGTCTAAAATATTCACAAATATCACAATAGCAATGTATCATTGTAAATTAAACTGTTAATGTTTACAAGGGTATTTTATATATACTTACTCTTTTTACCAATTTATTTAATCTTATGGAAGGGGGTAAAGCTGAATAAAACAAAATAAATTTAAAAGATTTATTTAAATAAGGATGGTAGACATAATATTTATAAATACATTTTTAATTGTAAGTACAATTTGGATTATAGGCAGCCTGTTCTGTCCACGGATCGTCAATATTTAAGCATCCCTTTAAATCCAATCCACATTGGAAACAAATGACGCGGTCTGCTAACCCAGTGTAAAAAAATCCTGCACTTGCCATTTCATGAGGTTTTTGATTCATTGCTTCTGGTCAGTCTTCAAACGAATACAAACGATCTTGATTTAATACAAATTCAGGATGACATGCTGTTTTTTTCTTAATTATATTTGGAAAAATATTATCTTCAGGAACTGAATTGGGGAAAATTTCGAATATATTATTTTTGTTTTCTGTAACTTGATTGTTTTATAGAGATAATTCTTTAAAATTATAAATAAGTTTATAATATGTTGTATTATTTTTTACTTTTAACATATGCTTCATTATTTGTTTTTTTAAAGCAAGCAAATTAGTTTAATGATTTGTATTTTTAGCTTTTTTAAAGCAATCAACCTTAATTTACAAAACTCATTATATTTGTTTTAGTATTATCTATATGTTTGAAGATTTAACAGAAACAAAACTTTATAAAATACACCATACTTTTTATATATCTACATAGTTTCTCCCTACCTTTACATCCACTTTCACCCCTCCATTTTCCCTACTTTATCTTACATTTTAAAAAACAATATTTTTACTTACATATTTTTATAACTTATAAAGCCATACAAAATCATGGTGCCATACTTCATGACTCCAATCATTTACGGGGTGTTCCTCCCCTGACCTTAAATTTAAAAGAAAAAATTAAAGAAACTGAGAAAATTGAATGTTTACCTTTGACTTAACAACCAAAAAATCCAAAAAAAATCAAATAATTCTAATTCATCTTGAGGGATTTCATTCTGGAATTCTTCATTTTTATTTCTTAAAAGTTCTCTATTTAAACGTATAATTTTAATTGCAACACTTTGTGGGTAAAACTGTTTTCCATTACAAAAAAATAAGTTTTCCATAGTCACTACAAGAAACAAATACGGTTTTAGTTTATTATCATTGCACATACAAACACACACTGCAAAGTAAATAAAAGCATACAAATATTTCATATATTTACCCTTTCCACGGTTCAGCCTTACAGATTGTCCTAACCTGATTGTTTTATAGAGATAATTCTTTAAAATTATAAATAAGTTTATAATATGTTATATTATTTTTTACTTTTAACATATGCTTCATTATTTGTTGTTTTAAAGCAAGCAATTTAGTTTGATGATTTGTATTGATAGCTTTTTTAAAGCAATCAACCTTAATTTACAAAACTCATTATATTTGTTTTAGTATTATCTATAAGTTTGAAGATTTAACAGAAACAAAACTTTATAAAATACACCATACTTTTTATATATCTACATAGTTTCTCCCTACCTTTACATCCACTTTAACCCCTCCATTTCCTCTACTTTATCTTACATTTTAAAAAACAATATTTTTCCTTACATATTTTTATAAATTATAAAGCCATACAAAATCATGGTGCCATGCTTCATGACTCCAATCATTTACGGGGTGTTCCTCCCCTGACCTTAAATTTAAAAGAAAAAAAGAAACTGAGAAAATTGAATGTTTACCTTTGACTTTACAACCAAAAAATCACAAAAAAATCTAATAATTCTAATTCATCTTAAGGGATTTCATTCTGGAATTCTTCATTTTTATTTCTTAAAAGTTTTCTATTTAAACGTATAATTTTAACATGTCTAAAATATTCACAAATATCACAATAGCAATGTATCATTGTAAATTAAACTATTAATGTGTGTACAAAGGTATTTTATATATACTTACTCTTTTTACCAATTTATTTAATCTTATGGAAGGGGGTAAAGCTGAAAACAACAAAATAAATTTAAAAGATTTATTTAAATAAGGATGGTAGACATAATATTTATAAATACATTTTTAATTGTAAGTACAATTTGGATTATAGGCAGCCTGTTCTGTCCACGGATCGTCAATATTTAAGCATCCCTTTAAATCCAATCCACATTGGAAACAAATGACGCGGTCTGCTAACCCAGTGTAAAAAAATCCTGCACTTGCCATTTCATGAGGTTTTTGATTCATTGCTTCTGGTCAGTCTTCAAACGAATACAAACGATCTTGATTTAATACAAATTCAGGATGACATGCTGTTTTTTTCTTAATTATATTTGGAAAAATATTATCTTCAGGAACTGAATTGGGGAAAATTTCGAATATATTATTTTTGTTTTCTGTAACTTGATTGTTTTATAGAGATAATTATTTAAAATTATAAATAAGTTTATAATATGTTGTATTATTTTTTACTTTTAACATATGCTTCATTATTTGTTTTTTTAAAGCAAGCAATTTAGTTTAATGATTTGTATTTTTAGCTTTTTTAAAGCAATCAACCTTAATTTACAAAACTCATTATATTTGTTTTAGTATTATCTATATGTTTGAAGATTTAACAGAAACAAAACTTTATAAAATACACCATACTTTTTATATATCTACATAGTTTCTCCCTACCTTTACATCCACTTTCACCCCTCCATTTCCCCTACTTTATCTTACATTTTAAAAAACAATATTTTTACTTACATATTTTTATAAATTATAAAGCCATACAAAATCATGGTGCCATACTTCATGACTCCAATCATTTACGGGGTGTTCCTCCCCTGACCTTAAATTTAAAAGAAAAAATTAAAGAAACTGAGAAAATTGAATGTTTACCTTTGACTTAACAACCAAAAAATCCCAAAAAAATCAAATAATTCTAATTCATCTTGAGGGATTTCATTCTGGAATTCTTCTCTATTTAAAAGTATAATTTTAATTGCAACACTTTGTGGGTAAAACTGTTTTCCATTGCAAAAAAATAAGTTTTCCATAGTCACTACAAGAAACAAATACGGTTTTAGTTTATTATCATTGCACATACGCCTTTTCGAGCGGCGTTCAGTTTTCCGTCCGACCTTGAAGATCGGTGAAGGTATAAAGGAGGCGAAGGCATCGCTCACAATCAATTGTTCTTATCATTTAGTGGTGCTTCCCTAGATATTTATTAAGGTAATTTTCTTAGATTTTTTAATTCTTAGATTACATTATTTTAGTATTAGTAAAATTTTATTAAATTCGAGAATTAACATTATTATTTTTTAATATAAATTTGATTAAATAAGCTTGGTGATTTTTTTTAAAATCAATTGTATACATCTCACCGCTGTTGCGCTAAAATTAGTTTATATAAGCCTTAGATATTTTTATAAATTTAATTGTTTTAGACTAAATTCAAGAATAATCATCATTTTTTAAAGAATACTTTGTATAGATTTTTAAATTTAATTGTTTAAACTTCATTCTAAGAATATTATTACCAATTCTGACTACCCTAATTTTAACTATTCCAACTATTATATTTTAGCATGTCAATATTTTCCGATTTGGTTCGCCACATCGCTTCCATATTGGGGCTTTTAACGTCTCGATATGACGAGAAAGTGGCTCAGAAGGGGCTACGTGAGTGTGCATTGGCGATGCGTCGGCTAACCCGTGCTCTAAAAAGTGCAAAGACAATTGGGGAAAAACAAAAAATTGCATCGTGCATGCGGAGTATTAAAAGTCATAGAAACCAGCTGAAAGTTATGCAAAAGAAGGGGGCAGGGCTAAAATCAAGACCTGAAACTGCATGGAATCGTGTACGTTGGGATGATTCAGAGTCAGCTTTCGAAAGTAGAATACGAACAGGCGTCATATCCAACCTTAAACATAAGGATCCAAGCTCTTTTTTGGAGGACTGCAAAGCTTTGTTCAGGAGACGTATTATTAACGCTTTAAAAAAGGACTCTGCAGTCAAGGTCAATGCTATCTTTTGTGGGGAATTCGAAATAGTGAAGGGGGATAGTGTACAGAACGAGTACAAGTACTTCACTACTTCAAACTCGGCGATCTATCGGGACACAAACTTGAATGAGTGGTTTGATAACCACATCACAGCCCCTATTATGACAGAACTAGAGGAGTTCCAAGAACGGGACAGCGGGTGGGGTCTTAAGAAGGTGGTTAACTTGGGGGTTAATATTAATAAGTATATCCCACAGCTTGGATCATCATACATCGAGTTGCCTCCTCAAATTAGGAAAAAGCATGCTTGCGTCAACGTTAAAAACGATGATGAGGCTTGTTATGCTTGGGCTGTTACGTCGGCTCTCTATCCTGTTTCTTCAGAAAAAAATAACCCAGGCCGTTTATCATTATATCCGCACTATTCATCTGTCCTTAAATTAAAAGGAATCCAATGGCCTATGACAATGAAGCAGATCCCCAGCTTTGAGAAGCAGAATGATGTTTCAATCAATGTTTATATATTGCAAAAGAAAAAGGCAAAATTTATTACTCTGCCCTCTTATCTGACTAAAAATAAGAAAGAAAGACATGTAAATCTTTTACTTATTCAGGATAGCTATGATGATGAGGCTCCGACAAAGTATCACTTTGTTTGGATAAAAAATATGTCCCGACTTCTATCAACTCAATTAAGTAAAGAACATGGTCAAAAATACTTCTGTGATCGATGTCTACATTATTTCCGTTCGCAAGATAAACTTGCTAAGCATATTGAGGACTGTGTTAAAATTAATGAGACGGCCATAAAGATGCCTGAACCAGGGAAAAACATTTTAAAATTTAAAAATCATAAGAATAAGAAGAAGGCGTTCATTGTATATGCTGATTTGGAGAGTGTTCTGGAACATACAGATAATCCCAAGAAGCCTCAACATCACTTTCCAGCTGCCATTGGATACTATTTGAAATGTTCATATGATGATAGTATCTCTTTTTATAAAGGTTATCGCGGGCAGGACTGTATGACGTGGTTTGCTGGTGAGATGAATAGTTTAGCTGAAGATTTAGCAACTGTGTTTTGGTGCCCCTATGATATTAATATGACGTTCACTCAAGAACTCAGCTTCCGTCAGGCAAAACACTGTCATATATGCGACCAACCTTTTACACCTGAGGATAAGAAAGTTAGGGATCACAACCATCTAATTCCCGAAAATAATTATCGTGGAGCCGCCCATGAATCATGTAACATTAATTATAAAGATAGTTATACTGTGCCTGTTGTCTTTCATAACTTATCGGGATACGATGCACACTTTATTATAACAGACATAGCTACGAGAATGAAGGGATCTATCGATCTGCTACCCATTACTAAGGAAAAATATATTTCCTTCACCAAACACATCGATTACTACCCAATTCAATTTAGATTTATAGACTCCTTCAGATTTATGGCTTCTTCTTTAGATAAGTTGGCTTCATATATGTCAGAGTTCCCTAACTTGAAATCTCAGTTTGCTGATGTGTCAGAGGAGAAATTTTTCCAGCTCACAAAGAAAGGAGTAATGACGTATAACTATATTGACTCGTTTGCACGTTTTGGTGAAACTCAATTACCAGATATCGATAAATTATTTAATAAGTTGGAGAATAAGCCCTGTCCCCGAAGACACTATCTAAGAGCTCAACATGTTTGGACTACGTTTAGCTGTCAAGATTTAGGTCAGTATGTGGATCTTTATATGAAAACTGACATCATGCTTCTGGCTGACGTTTTCGAGCAGTTTCGTACCACTTGCATTAAAACTTATGGCTTGGATCCTGCACACTATTATACTTTACCAGGATTTACGTGGGATGCTATGCTTAAGTATACTAAGCAAGAGTTGGAGCTGCTTACTGATCTAGACATGTTCCTCTTTGTTGAGAAGGGGATTCGTGGCGGGCTTAGTCAAGTATGCAGTAAGCGAAAAGCTAAGGCGAACAATAAATATGTTGGCAACTATGACCCCAGCAAGCCTCATACTTTCCTAATGTATTTTGACATAAATAATCAGGTAAGTTATTCTCCCTCTGAGCTTTAAATTTATTTTTTCTAATTATATACATTTTGTTTTAGTATGGATGGGCGATGTCGCAGCATCTTCCATATGGCGGATTTGAATGGGTGGATTCAAATCTTGATGTCGCCCAAGTCCCTGATGATGCTTCCGAAGGGTATATTTTAGAGGTAGATCTCGAGTATCCTCACCATCTACATGATCCCCACAAGGATATTCCATTCTGCTCAGAGCACATCAACCCTAAGACCGGTGAGCCTCCTAAGGACGCGAAAGAGATAACCAAACTGATGGCTACATTGAGTGATAAAAAGAAGTATGTAATTCATTATCGGGCCTTAAAACAAGCGTTAGCTAACGGTTTGGTACTTAAGAAAATTCATCGTACACTCAAATTTAAGCAGTTTCCGTGGTTGAAGGCCTACATAGACCTTAACACTGAGCTTCGTAAGAAAGCTGCGAATGAGTTCGAGAAGAATCTCTTTAAGTTGTTGAACAATGCGGTTTTTGGTACGTAATATTATTATTACTTAAATTTTAGATTAATATATCTTTAATTGTTGCAGGTAAAACCATGGAAAACATTCGTAAAAGGGTCAACATCCGCCTTTTGACTCAGTGGTTAGGACGTTACGGAGCTGAGGCATATATAGCGAAGCCTGAATTTAAGAGTTGCACCATATTTAATGAAAATCTGGTAGCTGTAGAACTCCGAAAACTAAAAATATTCCTAAACAAACCAGTATATGTGGGGCAAGCTATCCTCGACTTGGCGAAAACTACCATATACAACTTCCACTATGACTATATGGGTAATGCTTTCCCTGATTGTGCTGTTATGTATACCGACAGACAGTCTCATATACGAGCTATATCAAGATCCGTATGAAGTTATTCGTCAGGATTGCCTTCAGTACTTTGATACGTCAGATTATCCTGTTGAGGATCAGTATGGCATCCCCCAGGTCAATAAAAAGGTGTTGGGTATGATGAAAGATGAGAACAATGGCATCCTGATGACGGACTACGTAGGTCTTCGGTCGAAATTATATGCAACTAAGACGCAAACAACTGCCGCTGAAATTGCGCGAAAAAGAAAAGCCCTACATGAAGAGGGCTTTGATGATGATGAGGTTAATGAAATCATTAAAAATTTTGGTGTCATCAAAAAGGCCAAGGGGGTTAAATCTTCTGTTGTTAAAACGAAGATTACATTTGATGATTATGTGGAGTGTCTCGATAGTTTTAAACAAAAGATTGTTGAACAAAATTTAATACGGTCCAAGAAGCATCAGGTGCACTCTATAACACAACAGAAAATTGCTCTTTCATCTGAGGATGATAAACGGTATCTTATCCCTGGAACAGATGAGACGCTGCCATGGGGGCATTATAATATAATATTTAAAAATTAGTTTTGTATATTAGCTTTATTAGGTTTAGATATTTTAGATGTATTATTTTTTACGTTGTATTAATAAAATATAATTTCAATAATATTTTTATGATTTAAACCCTCCACTAATCCCCTCCCGACACAAGAAAGCCACCACCTTCCCGCGGTTTCTATTGTTAGGAATAAATTTTATTTATAAATAAATTTTATTCAACCAAGAGTGGCATTATTTAAATGAAATAGTGTTATGTGATTTAAAAAAAATATATGTTAAACCCACCTTTGAGTTTCATTTCTTACCTGCATACCCTATAAATAGTAGTAAATAAGGCTCCACAGTGGTGATCATGGTGATGGTATTGTAGTTGTTGAAAATAAATAAACGATGTATTTAATTGTATTGGACAAGTAAATTTTAAAAAAAGCTTGAAATTTTAAATAGTTTAAATTTTTATGTATATTATTATAAAGTTTTAAAATGCGCAGTTGAAGTGCTAAAAGTGCTAGAATTTAATCATTTTTATCATATACCTCCATTTATTTTATACTTTATAGGTTAACAAAAAAAATACATAAAAGTAAAAGATAAAATGTTGCTGTGGTTTATCCTTAAGCCCATCAATCAAATATTAAAAGTCATTTTATTTTTAAGGTTAAGGTATTATTGATCTAAAAAATATTGGAGGTTTTACTAATTTGGTGTTTTAAGCGATAATTAATTATCTGTACAATTAATAAGAGCCATTTTATTTGTATATTAAGGTGTTCAATTTAAAAAAACATTGGCGGTTTCAATAATTTAGATTATTGGAGGCGTTTTCATACTGTATAGACATGCAGTGTGAACGCTGTTATCAAGAGTATCCTGATACAGGATCCCTTTTAATTCTATTACATGGTCATGTTATATAGATTTTAAGAAGTGGCAGTTTGGGTACGATCGACGACAGTTACTTTGCGAAATGTGCGGTAAATTTATGAATAGAACGGATATATACCACCACATGAAAAATAGCCATCGCGTTGAAAACCTCTCGGATCAGTTTGCATAGATCCATAATGGATATATATATATATATATATATATATATATATATTAGGGTGTTTCAAAAAAATCGACTTTTTCTTTTTCTTCAAATGGTCGGCAAATTCTTTCAGAGGATGTCAACACAAAGACCTCGTCAAAATTTGAGCTTTTAATTTGAAGATTTAGAGGTCTCGGATCGCATTTTTCTATTTCCCATTTAAATAACATGGGAATTTTTTTTTTTAACTTTAAAATTTTATACGTCTGAATCGAATCAACTTATGTCAAGGATCATCTTAGATTTTTATAGTAAATTTAACGCTCTACAAAAAAGGTCTCTTATCATTTTTCTATAAATTGATTCCTTCCAGAGTTATTCGAGGCCAAAGTTTGATTTCCATCGAATTTTCGCGTTTTTTTAACATTTATGGTACAATTATCATTATACGGGGCCAAACCGAAATTAGGGGGGCCAAACTTAAACAGTGCATTATTCGTATAAAAATAACACTTTTTTGTTTAATAAACATGTATCAAAAAATGCTCCCTAAAGGAGCTACGGCCCCCTGAATAGGAACCTAAGAGGATAATTTTTTTTAAACTATTCCTAGAGGGTTGAACATGAACAAATGAATTTTCGGTACTTTTCGAATTTTGACATGCTGAATCTAGATCTACGATCAAAACTGTTAAAATTTAATCATAGGCGTAACATTTGGAGGGGGCAAAGTTACAAAAATAGCCCCAACTTTTTTCTGGGTTAATAATTTAATTTTTTTTATGAAATTATGAGAATTTATAGTTTTTTACGAAAAATAGGTACTCTTGATTTGAATTGCTCAGATGCACCATTTTCGAGAAAAATGCATTTATATATAAATTACTCTGCATATTATACACATCTCATATTTTCATTAAAACTTTGTAGTAGGCTTTGGAAAAAAGTGACGTTTTTTTTGTTTTTTTGTTTTTTTACAACACTTCCTATGTTTCAGATATAAATATGTGATTTTTTTACTACATTATGCTAAAAGTTGAAAAAACGAGAAAATTCGATGGAAATCAAACTTTGGCCTCGAATAACTCTGGAAGAAATCAATTTATAGAAAAATTATAAGAGACATTTTTTATAGAGCGTTAAATTTACTATAAAAATATAAGATGTCCCTTGCCATAAGTTGATTCGATATAGACGTATAAAATTCCAAAGTTAAAACAAAAAATTTCCTATCTTATTTAAATGGGAAATAGAATAATAATAATAATAATAATAATATTTATTAGTGCTATTACCAAAAGGTTTACAACGTCAGAAAAATACAAATATAAAAATAGTACAAGAAATGTAAATATAAATAAAACAAAGAATATAATAAAATAAGGACACAATTAAAAGGTAAAGTTTAAAAACTCATCAATCGAATAAAATGAATGTGTAGTAAAAAAGGATTTTAAAAACAGTTTGTATTCATTAAAAGCCATATTTTTTACATTATTTGGGAGTTTGTTAAAAAAATTAATTCCATAAAAATCAGGTCCACTCTGGCACCTTTTCAGTCTAGAGAATTGATTAATTAAGTTGCCTTTATTTCTGGTGTTATGGTTATGTACACAGTCTTGACTTTTATATAAGTTTAAATTATTTTTTACGTATACCAAATTATGAAAAATAAATAAGGCAGGAAAAGTCATAATTCCAAGTCTTCTAAATTCAGCCCTGCAATCGTCCCTATAACCAAGGGAGGCAATAATTCTTATAATTCTGCGTTGCAGACTAAATATTCTATGTGACTCAGAGCAATGACCCCAAACAATTATGGCCTACGAAATATGCGATTGAAACAAGGAAAAATAGGCACTAGCCAATACTTCACTGGACACACTACCAACAAGATTGCGAATAATAAATATATTGGTATTCAACCTCTTTGATAGTGAATCTATGTGACTGTTTCATCTTAATTTACTGTCAAACATGATTCCAAGAAATTTAATGGGTTCTGACTTGTTTAAGTCATTAAAATCTCTTAAGGAGAAAATATTGTTCTGTGTCTTGCCCTTGTTTAGGACTAATTGATTCTCGGTGAACCATTTTTCGGCCCGCGACATTGCTCTCTCACTCTTCACCTCCAAAAGTTCAAGATTTTTATCTTTTACTACAATTGTGGTATCATCAGCAAATAGTGTTAAATCCGTCGAGTTACTAATGTTAGATAGGTCATTTATAAATATTAAAAATAGGATAGGTCCAAGAACAGAACCTTGAGGTACCCCCACATTCACAGTTTCCCTTTGACTCAATTCATTCCCAATTTTGCAAACTTGATGTCTATTTGATAGATATGATTGAATTAGTTTTACACTATTTTCAGAAAAATTGTAGGCTTGAAGCTTTTTTAGAAGCAGAGAGTGAGAAACACAGTCAAAGGCCTTGCTTAGATCACAAAACACTGCATTTGCAAATTCAAGATTTTCGAAAGAATCTTCTATTGTTCGTACCATTTGCAGAATTGCAGATGTGGTATTTTTACCCTTCCTGAAACCATGCTGACACTCACTGAATATGTTGTTTTCTTCAAAAAAAGCAACAATTCTATTGGCCATGCATCTTTCAATAATCTTCGAAAAAACAGGCAAGATGGATATGGGCCTGAAATTGTTGGGGTCATTTATATCACCTTTCTTATAAATTGGTATCACAAGGGCCTCCTTTAGAACATCTGGAAATTCAGCCTTTATAAAACACAAGTTAATTAGTTTAGCTAGAGGGATAGAAATTAAATATTTGACTATTTTAATGATACTTATACTTAAACCATAAATATCACTACTGTTTTTGGACTTAATTTTGTCAATTATATCTATGACTTCAATATATGTTACTTCCTTAAAGTGAAATCGATTTTCAGGGGCTTTAATTCTTTCAAAATAAAAAGAAGAGTTAGTGACACCTAGGTTTTTAATAATAGTATTGGCTATATTAGCAAAGTATGAATTAATCAAGTTAGGGGGTATTGCGCAATCTATATGATTACTTCCTCTTTTTTTGTTAATTATGTCCCACATACTTTTTACTGGGTTGTTTGCAGTTTTTATTTTGTTGTTGTTATATTCCCTTTTGGCATCCAATATGGCTTTTCTATATATAATTCCAAAATCTCTTTTTTGCTTTAATATGTTGGTGTTACATGTTTGTTTATACAGATCAGATAGAAAATTTAAAGTATTCCTCATTTGATGTAATTTATTATTAAACCAGTTGAAATTAGTTTTGCTATTTGAACTATTCAAACAAGTTTTTTCAGGAAAACAGTTTAAAAATGTACTTTTTAAAATGGACACAAACATTTCAAATTTAAAATTAACATTAAAATCATTATTTACAAAATTAAAATTGGTCTGTTCTATTATGTTATAAAACTGTAGCTTGCCCCATTCTGTGATAGGCCTAAACTTGTTTAAAATCGGCTTAGTCTTAGAGTTTAGTATTAAATCATAAAACTTTGCCACTTGAGCATTATGGTCAGAAAAGGGAATGTTTATAGTCTCAGTTACACAATCATTATTAAAATTAACAAATATGTTATCAATACAATTAAAATTTCTACTGGGAGCAAAAAATTGTTGTTTAAATCCGAAGGATAAAAAAACACCTCTTAAAAAACAAGCATCATTATTTAAATGAGTAAAATTAACATTAAAATCTCCTGACACTAAAATTTTTGACGTTATACCTAAAGTATTTAACGCATTTTCTATCACATCTAAGAATATTTTAAAATTACCACTAGGGGGTCTGTATACATTTACAATTATTTAATTGTAGTTAATATCTAAAATCTTTATCGCACTAATTTCCACAACTCTTTCTAATGAAAGACTATTAATATTTTGTAGTTCAATATAATTGGTATTACATTTTACTAGAAATTACAGATCCACCTCCTCTACTATTTAATCTAGAATAGAAAGAAGCGCAAGTGTATCCTTCT